AAAATCATTACATTTTCCCCATTTTTCAAGTGAGAAAAATTGAGAAACAGAACTTGAATTTTAGTCAGCAAATGGGAAGACAAGAATTTTGGCAAGTCAGTGATTCTAAAACCTATTCTCTTTCACCACATCATTCCTGAATTTTAGGAAGACTGAGTCAGCCTGTGTTTTCTGAACATTGGTCTTGTTTTTGGTCAGCTCAGGGTGATCTTGGGGTCTCTTTCCAGGTTATGTTTTTCAGATTTATCAGGTTTGCTACTGCCTTGGTGTCTTTGCTCCAGGGTGTTTCCTCTGCTTGAAACCCTCTTCACCCAGATATTTCATGGAAAACGGGATCACCTGTTGGATAGGTAATGGGGGATCTGATCGTATAGGGTCTTACAGGGCATTGTAAGAACATTGGCTTTTTCCTCTGTGTGAAATGGGAGCCATGCAGCGATTTGAGCAGAGAAGCGATGTGATCAGATTTAGATTTTTAAAGGATCCTTCTTGCTGCTGTGTTGAAAAAGAGTCTAAAGTGGGTAGATTAGGGAATGTAGAAGTTTGGAGGCTTTTTAGGGAGTTATGACAGTAATCCAGGAGAAAGATAATGGTGACTCATACTAAGGTGATAGCAGTGGAAGAGATGTGAAGTAGTTGGTTTCTGGAGTTATATGTGTATGTAATTTTATGATTTTTAACTTTTTCTTATGGAAAATCTCAAAAACATTCAAAAGCACCGAAATGAGTATAATGGATTCCCATGTTCCTACTCAGTGAACTTATCATGTGTTATTATGTGTCAGGCACTTTGCAACTGCTGCAAGAATTGCCAGCTTGTACCTCTTCCTCCCCTACCCTAGAGTGGGGAGAAAGCAATTCCCAGGTAACATATTTCATGTATAAATATTTCAGCTTTTACTACTCCAGCTGCGCCTGACTGCCCCAACATTCTGGTATCCACCTTATAGTTTCTGCTTGTTCATGGTTTCATGTACTCATTACTTCTACTTATTTACTGCCCTATATATCCTCTGTAAACCTTTTTCCTTCCTATCAGCTACAAACTGTACACTTCTCAAATTCACACTTGCTAAAAAGAGGTTTTTGTAGGTTCGGTCAGTTGTTATTTTCCCTTCTACACAGAGCTCATGATCTGGCCAAATTGTGGTAGATTGGGTGCTGTTGGTTCAGGGACCCTCTTTTGGCCAAGCAGGGTTTTGTAATGACAAGGTTAGTTTCCTCAAAAAAGTATTATTGAAATGGTAGTTGTGTAACAAATAATAGTCTGCTCTCCAATACTAATAAATCGTGGAAATTTAATACTAGAAAGGATATAAATTGTGAAAAAAGTAAGCCTGCAATGAGACTAGAAATAGATGTGTCTAAACACTGAACATGATTATTTTACAGCCTGACCTGACTCATTTAGAGTGCTATTCTTGGGTGCCACTGAGGAATTAAGGACTTTTTTTTTCTTAATATATTTTTGTTTATAACAGGCTAAGTAATAGCATAGATCATAATGATCTAGACTGGAAGTCAAGACCTACATTTAATTCTTCTGTTCATCATTGACTTTGCATAGTATTAGACAAGCTAAAAAACTTCCTTATGCCTTTGCCTCCCTCAAATGATTAATACCTGCCTTTTCCTGATTCGCGTATGGTAGACAGATAAGAGTGAGGGTTAAAAGTACATTGAGCTTTTATGAAGAGAAGCATGTGAAAATTTAAATAATTACTATTTCCTGTGTCAACATTTTTATGAAATTATAAAATGAACATAGATTTAATGGTTTTTGTATAAATTTAAGGAGGACAAGTATAGTTTTGTTACATGGATATATTGCATGGTGGTAAAGTCTGGGCAGTAACCATCAACCCTTGAATAATGTACATTGTACCCATTAAGTAAATTCTCATCCCTCATCCCACCCCCCACCCCTCCCTGGCTGACCCTCCAACCCTTCCAGGTCTTCAGTGTCTACTATTCTACACTCTGTGTCCATGTATATACATTATTTAGCTCCCGCTTATAAGTGAGAACACTCAGCATTCAACTTTCAAAGGTTACATACTCTGTAATCTATTCATTTTCATCAGGTACTCAAACTTTTCTTTCTACATTTTAATGTATATGCCATATGTGTATACCACTTAGAACAATGTATGACATGTAGTAAGAACTATGTAAATGTTAAGCTGTTGTCTGCATCAGTGTGAAAAATAATTTATCAAAAGTCCATAGAGTTAGAAATGCTTAAACATTTGACCCCTCCCTCCATCCCCTAACATATACCCTGCTTTGAAGCACACAAAATAGTACATCCTGTGAAAATATGCATAAAAGTACACTTTCTGAGCCCTGGAAAATTGGCAATGTATGTGTTTATGCCAAAAGAAATACAGCAACAACAAAAAAGAACATCAGCAATATATGTGTTTATATGACAAAAAATACAAGAACAAAAAAGAAGGGGGTCATTAAAAATGGCATTGGTAACTATATCTCCATTGTTCTCAGAGACCAGTTAGTAGACAGGCTGCATCAAAATCAGCAGGAAATTTTCACGAATTCTTGGTTCTACTAGAGATTCTGATATAGTAGAATAATAGTGGAGATTAAGTATACAGAAATTGTTGAAGTTTCTCAAATGATCCTGATTTTCAGCCAGGCCTGGGAATTACTGATGTATAGAAAAATGTAATACAGTTTTTAATTTAACTTAGTATATCATTTATTTCTGGGAATCACTAATGTGTAGAAAAATGTAATATAATACTTAATTTAACTTAGTGCATCATTTATTTCCTATCATCCTAATCAAAGTGGTATATATTGGGAAATATCTACCCCCAGGAAAGCGGACTAGGAGTACATCTATCAAAATCAGAATGGCAATTATATCTGGATTATAAGTTTATGGAAATATTTATTTTACATTTGTGTTTCTTATTTCTAAGTTTTCTTGTTGAGCATATATTATTTTTATAATAATAGATATTCACAATCAGTGCAAGAAATTTATTCATAATCAGTGCACGATTTTAAAGACTCATATGCAGCCTAAAGTTTATAAAATGTAAAGAAAAAAAAAAACTTGGGAGGCTGAGGCAGGAGGATCGCTTAAGCCCAGGAGTTCAAGACCAGCCTGGGCAATATAGCAAGACCCCATCTCTAAAAAAATAAAAACAAAACAAAACAAAAATTAGCTGGGCAGAGGGGTATATACCCATAGTCCTAGCTACTCAGAAGGCTGAGACAGGAAGATTGCCTGAGTCCAGGAATTTGAGATTACAATGAGCTTTGATCACTGCATTCCAGCCTGAGTGACAGAGTAAGACCCTCTCTCTACCAAAACAATCTGTCAGTGCATATTCACATATTTTTTCTTTTAAAAGGCCAGGCTACATATAAAACAACATGGGAACAATATTTATTTTTGCTTTTAAAAATGTCACAATTTTTTTTAGTAAATATATATCTTAGAGAATATAAAGCAAATTAAATCCTAATTAGCTTTTACTTCTTTTGCTTAGGCAAGAATGGAAATATACCAATGTTTATAAAAGGACCAATCAGTCAGCAACCTTATACTTGATGTGGTGAGAGAACAGTTCTGGTACAATATAAATCTTCTGTCCAATTTATATTTTTGGCTGTGCTCTGCGAATAATGCTCAATCCTTTTTAAAGATTCTTTTGGCTTCTAATCCTTTATATACATAAGTCTGAAAGGTGTTAACAAACAGAAGAATTTACCATAAGATTTACATCTAAATTAAATGTTAATTAAGTAGAAAATTAAGAAAAAGTTTTAAGACATTAAGAAAAAGTATTAGTATCATCTTAGTTTTAAATGAGTTTATACTATTTTTTCTTGTAGTTGATAGCAACATTTTATTCAGATATAGGATACAGCCATTTAAAAACACATGTTGGTTTGTAGTCATTTACATTTTCAGTTAAAATAGGCATTAGCTATTTGACATATATTTAAGTTCTCTTTTGTAAATAGGCATCAGAAAATAGCTATACAATATTTTTAAAATCAGAAGGATTTACGAGAAAAGAAGTAGTCTGTTTACTGGAGATGTAGCTCAGCAGTGACAAAAGTTATTGTTATGTAGTCATTTTTGCCTTTGGAAAACAGCTATAAATTTTGCAACTCAACCTGGACTAGTTCACCGCCTATAATTTCTCTGACAGTATTCAGTTCATTTCCATTGTCTGTCCGTTTGAATTTTCCAATAAGTTTATTTCCCTCAAGGGTCCAGGTACCCTACATAATAATAATAATATTAATAATGGGACTTTTAAACATGTTAGACACTGTTGTGAGTTCTGTAGACACGTTTTTATTTAATCTCCGTGGTAACCCTATGAAATTGATACTATTATCTCTACAGAAGAGGAGACTGTAAAATGGCATAGTAATTCACCTAAAGTCACAGAGTCGGGATTGAACCCAGGCCATTAGGCTACAGAGTATTGCAAAGTACTACAGAGTAGTACAGGTAACCATTATGCTTGTTTTTTTCAATAATTTCCATATGCTGAATTTCAAGGCAGATGAGCAGGCCTTCTTTCTGAATCTTTCATGTTATGTGTCCAGAAACATAGTCTTGGTTAAAATTAGTTTCATGGAGAGGTTAACAACTCTGTGCTTGCTTTAATTTGTGTGATTGTAAAACTAATTAAAGAAAGGCATAACTAATAAGTAATACATTACAGTAGTTAAATTGTCATTACAAATGTGATTTAAATAGAAAAATTTTGAGGCTAAAAATGTTTTTAAAAAATGTTTGAAAATGGCTTTCTAAAATGTGTTCTCTTAAACATGAAGAGGTACACTCCCAATGACCTACAGTGCATTAAACCTTTCCATTTGGTAACTCCTTAAGTTGTTCATTGATTCCTTTCTTTTAGTATTTCAACATATTACGTGGCATTACAGTCAAGTTACATATTAACTCTAAAAGCTTCTGTTGCTGTACTTTTTTTTTTTAAGTTGTGCACTTTTATTTAACTCGTCTTAAGTCAGTGTACAGGTAAGCCCTAGCTGCCTCCACCCACTCCCAGGGAGACCAAAAGCCTTCATACATCTCAAGTTGAGGGACAAAAATGGGGTAGCCACAGAGGCTAAAATCTTTCAAAATAAAACAAAATTTAAAAATACTGAGATGAAATTTAAAAAATTTTTAAATTTTTTTCATTACATAATTTACACAAAAACAATGCTCGTGTGGACATGGGAGAGGACTGGGCCATTCTCCTTAGAGAGAAGTGGGGTGGCTTTTGGGAGGACAGGGGAATTCCTGTAACAATGCATCTCATGATATTTGGAATGACTATTAAAAAAAAGAACAATGTACAAAGTTCTCGGCCACATTGTAGAATTTTGGGGGATGCTTGCTCCAACTGACTACTGTCACCTTTACCATTCCAGTATCCTGAGTCAAGCCAAAACAAAACAAAACAAAACAAAACAAATAAAGCCATGCCAATCTCATTTTGTTTGCTAGGCAAGTTAGGTTTTGTCAAGAAAGGGTGTAACGCAACTAAGCCATAGTCCGCCAGAAGCTTTTGCCGTACGCGATGGAGGGGCCATACTCCTCATACTGCTGCTTGCTGATCCACATCTGCTGGAAGCTGGGCAGCGAGGCCAGGATGGAGCCGCCGATCCACACAGAGTACTTGCGCTCAGGAGGAGCAATGATCCTGATCTTCATCGTGCTGGGTGCCAGGGCCGTGATCTCCTTCTGCATCCTGTCAGCAATGCCAGGGTACATGGTGGTACCACCAGACAGCACTGTGTTGGCGTACAGGTCTTTGTGGATGTCCACATTACACTTCATGATGGAGTTGAAGGTAGTTTCGTGAATGCCATAAGATTCCATGCCCAGGAAGGAAGGCTGGAAGAGCGCCTCAGGGCAACGGAACCGCTCGTTGCCAATGGTAATGACCTGGCCATTGGGCAGCTCGTAGCTCTGCTCCAGGGTGGAGATGGAGGCTGCCATGGCCATTTCCTGCTCAAAGTCCAGAGTGACATAGCACAGCTTCTCCTTGATGTCATACACCGTTTCCCGCCCAGCTGTGGTGGTGAAGCTGTAGCCACGCTCGGAGAGGATCTTCATGAGGTAGTCAGTCAGGTCCCGGCCAGCCAGGTCCAGACGCAGGATGGCGTAAGGGACGGCATACCCCTCATAGATGGGCACAGTGTGGGTGATCCCATCACCGGAGTTGATCACAATGCCACTGGTACGGCCAGAGGCGTACAGGGACAGCTGTGCCAGGATGGCTACATACATGCCTGGGGTGTTGAAGGTCTCAAACATGATCTGGGCCATCTTTTGGCGTTTGGCTTTGGGGTTCAGGGGGGCCTCAGTCAGCAGCATGGGGTGCTCCTCAGGAGCCACACGCAGCTGGTTGTAGAAAATGTGGTGCCAGATCTTCTCCATGTCGTCCCAGTTGGTGACAATGCCATGCTTGATGGGGTACTTCAGGGTCAGGATGTCTCTTTTGCTCTGGGCCTCATCACCCACATAGTAGTCCTTCTGTCCCATGTCCACCATCAAGCCCTGGTGCCTGGGGCGCCCTACAATGGAGGGGAAGATGGCCTAGGGGTTATCATTGCCTGCGAAGCCGGCCTTGCACACGCCAGAGCCATTGTCAACAACGATTGCAGTGATATCATCGTCCATGGTGAGCTGGTGGTGGGTGTGGATGGGCTGCAGAGCGGTGAGGGCAAGGCTCTGTGCTAGCAGGGCAGATGTGGTCTTGGCCCTGTTGCTGTACTGTTTAAAAACACAGTTTTAAAGTTCTTTATGAATAGGTCTGTACTCAGTCATTCAAAGGTATTTTTCTAATTCTTATATTGTTCAATTCAGATTCTTCCCAGATGTGTATAAAAATAAAAGCATAACATTTAAATACCCTGCCAATTTGGGCAGTACATAACATGAACAAACTTCACTGCCTTCTTCAGTAAATGAAGGAGACCTGCATTAACTAAACTATCGAATGAAATAGGGCAGAGATCATTTCAGTACTTGGTAGAAAAATCAAGAATGCATTACTCATAAAAAAATTCTTAGAGTTCAGTTCCGTCTGCAAGGTCGTAATTAAAGGTGACACCAAGTTCAAAAACAACTTCATAGTTTCTAAAAGTGCTTGATTCTTTGACTGTGAATGTATTTCCTTCTTGTGTAATTGCCAGATTCAAATTGTCATGAGCTGCAAGCTTCCTTTTCACTGTATTAACACCTACAAAAGGTGAGGCAATGGAGAAAATAAAGTCAAATGCCATAGGAAGTGTTTATTTTTCCAAGTTCTGTTTTGTTTGCTTGTTATTTTTGAGGGTGGAAAGAAAACTCAGTAGCATTGCCTTTGCACTAAGAGCATTCAGATTGCTTCTACAGAAGTTCAGGTTCAGTCAGATCAAGAAAACTGATTAAAGTTGTTTTTCCAAAACTTGAGAAAAATTAAGTAGAGTACAGAATTACAGAATCTTAGAGCTGAGCAACTTTAATAAGATTAACAGACTGTTCATTTCAGTGTTAAGTAAGTCAAATTCTAGAAATATCAAATGAAGGATTAAAATGTATACTCATGTTTATAAGGAAGCACATCTTTAATTCCACATATACAGTATTCTTTTTTTCTTAAATTCCCCTTTGTTTTTCATAGTGGCTTTAAAATTTTGAACTTTATAATTCTCTTTTTTTTTTGTGGCATTTCTGACTGACACAAAAACGAGCAAATTAGCAAATATTTTAGTCAAAAATCACTATAAGAATCTACAACTTTTATAAATTTGAACTTAGAAATCCTAAACCGTAGGCTATAATTGATGCAACTTTTCTTTTAGGAAAATGACATGAATTTGTTTGCCTATCTTCTGTAGTATATGGGCTACCAGAGTATTGGTATCAATTTAAAAATCAGTTAAATTAAAGCCCCCTGAAGAAAATACATAGCCTCTCAACATTATTCTGCAACTTTTATAAGTTTGAAGAAATGAGATTTAAATCTAACTTATTCAGAGCTGTAAATTTTAAGAGACTTTTTTCCATTACTTTCTTATATGGTCTTGGCTTTTCCATCCCCTAGAATTGAATGTTTTTAAATCTAGAAGTTATCATTATATGCCGCCATTTTCTTACTGTAAACAACAAAAAAGTCATTTTTAAGAGTAAAAGAAACATATCTGGATCTTTTTGGTGTGTTTCAGAGAACAGCACTCAAAGAATCTTGTCTTCCATTAGTGAGATGGTGGATTCTTCCTAATATAAGAAGTGAGAACATGGTTTCCCTACTCTGAGCATCTTCTGGATCCTCACTACCATATCAGCAGCTATCCCTAAGCCCAGAGATTTAGGAATTAGAAAGAAAAGTGTTTGTAAGAAGGCAAAGAATGAGCAACAAAGAAATAAAGTCTTTACCCACTTTTTCCATGAACTTGTCATAGTTTTTACTCTGGTCTACCTTCCAGTTGCCATCAAACGTGATGATTTCAGTTGAGTCAGCCTCCAGGCAATTAGAGATTTAGGTCTGTCCTTGGGCGAGAATTTATTCTATTTCTTATCTTAGAACCAACGTCATACTGTGACGTGGAAGTTTAAAGTTCAGAGATCACCTAACTACTCTATGTCAAGCAATTTTAATTATCTTTCTGTGCATTCTTGAGATTTCTGAAATTAAACTGAATTAAAACATGAACAGCATCCTTATTCTGCCTTAAACTACAATTTGTGGGCATACTTATTTCAAGAGTTAGAATGCATGCTGTCCTAAGATTGTTTTTCTAAGTTCAAAGGGCACACTATATTGGAGCTAATATAATTTATAGTATATATCAAATAACACCTGGGAAATGAGACCATGACCTGTCCTTTTTCACAACAGCAATTATCTTACAGTTGAAAAGTTAAAGTTAATAAAATATGTTTTCTACCATGTCTTTTTGCACTCTGTTTAGCATTGCCAAGAGTTTGGATAAATATCCTGGCACTCTGTACGGTGCATGACACACAATAACTGCTCATTGATTTTTGTCTTGATCTTGAATGGTGATAGGCCACTGAGCAAAATTTCAAGAGGTATAAATGTGGCTGGATAGTGTAAAAACTCACATAAAAGAAAGAATGAGTTTTAAACATCTGCCATGTGCAGAGAGAACAAGAGCCAGTTTTAAGTATGCGATTAGGTAAAACCACTCCTTTGTTTTACTCTCACTGCCTCTCATTCCCAAACCCGGTAGAGTCAGAAGCCACATCTCAACATGTATGTGGACTCAGAGTGTAGAGGGTAGCTAGAAAGGTACAAAGAAAAGGTCACCATGTCTCTCCTTTCCCTGCTTCTGGGTGCCAACCTGGAACAGGCCAAGCTGGGGGAGGAAACTTGGTGTGAAGTAAGAGTTTTGATTACTAGTCTTAGAAGCTCTAGGGCTTGCCCAAGATATTACTTAGGATCAGGGGAAGATATATCTAACAGATTTGAATAGACCATTGGGAAATAGAATCCTGGTTTTTAAATTTTGATATTATTTTATATTTTGATTTATAAATCTTTTAAACACTTTTGTAGTTTGATTTTTTTTTTATTTTGAGTTGCTCACTTTTTATTTTATTAGGTAAGCACATTAAAAAGCAAACTATCTTCTACTAGCTCTATTATTTCATTAAAAAGGGAAAAGAGTTACAGGTGCACTGGCTCTTGCCTGTAATTCCAGCTACTAGGCTGAGGCAGGAGAATCACTTGAGGCCAGGAGTTTGAAACCAGCAGTTTGAGACCAGCCTCAGCAACATAGCAAGAGCCTGGCTTTAAAAATTATAGTAAAATAAATTAGCCAGATGTAATGGAATGTGCCTGTAGTCCCAGCTACTTGGGAAGCTAAGGCAGGAGGATCTCTTGAGGCCAAGAGTTCGAGATTGCAATGAGCTGTCATCATGCCGGTGCACTCCAGCCTGGGCAACAGAGAGACCCCATCTCTAAAAAATAAATAAATAATTTTTTAATGTCAAAAAGGGAAAGAAAAAACACATACATACTCATGTGTTGGGGACAAAGGTCATAATGGAAAGTTGTTTATGTTCATAACTTAAGTTTTACTTCAAAACTGGGTGCATTGTGATTTTTTTCTCTTTTTGTCAATGATTTAATACCTTATCATTTGGAAACCATTAACTTAATATACTTTCAGCTTGGAGGGAAGTAGAAAAGTTTGTTTAAAACTGAGGACTAAAGAGTCTCTCAGGTAGTCAACTGCTTATGGTGATTTGTCAACTCAGAAGCCTATGGATGATGAATTCAATCTTTCTTTCTAGGTCAGAAAAATGGATATATCTGGTCACTGAAATAGAAATGTGTTACAGTGAAAAGAATCTGTGTTTTAGAAACAAAACCCATTGACAGGTTTCAGTACTGACTAAACATACATTACTCTGCACGATCTTTGTCAGATTACGCAACTCTCTGAGTCTCAGTTTTCTCATCAATAAATCGAAGATGATAATAATAACTGTGTGTGTGTGTGTGTGTGTGTGTGTGTGTGTGTGTGTGTATAAAATGGGCATACTTATTTCAAAAGTTAGAATGCATGTTGTCTGAAGATTGTTTTTCTATGTTCAAAGGGCATACTATGTTGGAGCTAACGTAATTTATGGCATATATCAAATAACATTTGGGAAATGAAACCATAACCTATCCTTTTTTTACAACAGGAATTATCTTGTAAAGTAAGACTTTATGATAAAACAGTTATTTTTTTAAAGGTCAAAATGGGAATTTAAAAATCAATTTTTTAAATGTCACAACACAATTACCTTGTAAAGTAAGACTTTATGATAAATAATTTTATCAAAATTATTTATTTTGATAAAATTCCATAAAGCACCCACCTGAACAACTTATAGATCTCAACTTATAGAGAAATGTTTGTTTCTTTCCTAAGTCACTGAGAAAGGAAATCGGCGGCAATGACAATATTTTAGAAGCATGCTGGGTCTCAAACCACTATTATATTTTGGTAAAAAAATCCATGTCATCTGGTGTTTATGAGAAAGTCACCTAAAAGTTACTTAGGTATTACTTGGGACTGGGTATACCTTGGATTTTCCCGTTAAGGATATTATTACACTGTATAACCCTCTGGGATTATATCTTTCTACCATATAATCTTATAGCAATTGAAATGAAAGTGCCTGGCTCAAGAAGGAAGGCTGGCAGGAAGAAACCAAAATGGCTTCTTACCATTTTCACCATGACCTCACCCATGTCTCATGGCCACTTTAAGCTTCTCAGAAGGATCCAAATAGGATCAATTTAAAGCAAATAGGACTTGGGCTTATACAAGCCTGCTAACAAAAATAAGCATGTTAAGCTTTCAGTCTTAAAGTTGTCAGTGGCATTGACTTAATTTAACATTAGATAGGAAATCCTGTTATTTCTGTAGAGTAGCATCATTAGCTTTTTTTTTCTTAATGCTCAGATTACATATTTAACATTACAGTTTTCCTTCTCCAGCTCCTCAGCTCTGTAGCTTGTCAGTTTCTATCACTTACCTGTAGTCTATCTAGAAAAGAATATACAGAACTTGGGTGCCAATTTCCCTACAGACCTTTCCTACTGATGATATGATTGAGCCAACAAGCTAAGGGCAGACCCAGCCGTTTCTTTTGCATTTTGATAATTTTGGGGATGT